ATTTTGAGAACGATTTCCGAAGTGGAAATTGAAACGTCAATAAACGTATTTTTATCTTTAATTGTGGCTTATTCCCAGTTTAATAGTAATTAATTTACAATGCCACAAGAAAATAGCTTCAGAACAATATTCTTTATAGATGACGCTACATTAATTTATTTGACAATTCTATCAGTTATCATTAGTCACATTTCAACGGAAAACTTCGTAGTGACATAACGATCATCAGTTTACTGTAAATTTCAAATCATTCTAATGTGAGTAACTGAACCAGTAATTACACGAAAAAAATTATTTTGCTTCTTAAATTGTTTTTATTTGATAACGTGCATTATAGTTTGCTCGTATTTACAAGATTGTTTATGTAAACATTATAAATATCAATGAATCGTGAAGGTCTCCAAATGGCATCATTGCGAAGTCGTGTGAATTTTGTTTCTGTCAATAAAATACAAAAGTACAATATACTTTTTTACTTCAGATGAATCGTGTGTTCAATGTTACCAAAACCAAACTTTCTTGTCGGGAATTGCAAAATCTGTCCCAGGAAAAGTTAGTTGGTCTTCTTGACGACTCTAATATCGAATTTGATTGATAATTAGGAAGAAACTTTGGAAGAAGAAATGATTAAAGAAACTCAAATAGAAGAATTATTGGAAAATATTGTTGAAGATAGCTTGAACACCTAAGTTGCAGACAATGTGAAAGAAAAAATTGTTGTTGTTAAATATGTTAAAGAAATTACAGAGGAGCCACAGACAAGTCATGCCAAGAAAAAAAAATGCATAGAAAACCAACTTGGACAGACAACAATTTAATTGATGTAAACAACGAATACAGTGGTTAATTTTCGGTTGATGAAAATATTGATACGCCTTTTCAATATTTTAAAATGTTTTGTGATAACGATATTATTAAAAATTTTGATGAGCAAACAAACTTTCTGTGCATAAAGACAGTTAAAATATTGATACAAATGAAGCAGATATAGAGCAGTTCTTAGGCATACATGTATTGAGTGAAATTGTTTCTGTTCCTACGTATAGAATGTATTGGGCAGAAGAAACGCGATATTATGTCACGTAATCGTTGTGATAAACTGCGAGCATATTTTCACGTCAAAGATAATTTGAAAGTCTCGTCTAGTTACAATGACAAATTATATAAAGTAAAACCTTTCATTGAAAAAGTTCGGTAAAATATGAATAAGATAGATCCTGCGGAAATCAACACCGTCGATGAGTTTATTATAGAATTCAAAGGACATAGTGATCTAAAGAAATACATAAAAAATAAACCTAATAAATGGGGCATAAAAATTTTTTGCAACAGCAAGACGCAGCGGAATACTATAGGCTTTTGAGATATATGTGGAGAAAGGAACAGTCCAAGATGAATCAATCCTTGGAATTAGTGGGGAGATAGTACTGAAGTTGGTCAGAAATCTGCCTAACCACACGAATTTCAAGATTTTACGAATAATCGGTTCACATCTTATAATCTACTTATTAGTCTAAAAGAACGGGGCTTCCTTGCTGCAGGGACTGTAAGAAGTGGGCGGCTGGCAGGTTGTCTTTTTTCAGAAGACAAAGTTTTAATGGCAAAAGGGCAGGGATCCTCTGATGTAAAAATAGACAGCAAAAAAAATATTACTGCTCTCAAATGGTATGACAATCAGTCCGTCATATTAGTATCGAACTATATAAGAAAATATCCTCTTGATAAAGTAAAGAGATGGGGAAACAAAAGCATAATCTATGTAAAAATCGAACAACCAGCAATTGCCAAAAAATATAATAATTCTATGGAGGGTGTGGATTTGCATGACACGCTTGTGGAACTATACAGGGAGAGTCATGAGGAACTTTACATACTTCTACCATATGTAGAGTCCCTCAGGGAGCATATCATGTGGCCACTAAAAAATGTCAACCCCTCTTCTTTATTAATTAACAGGATGATTTGTGTAATTGACCATTGATTTCATTTTACTGTAGTGTGTATACGGCTCATTTGATTTTTTTCATTTTTGCATGATATAGTACACTACTATCTAGCATTCGACTGGTATTAGCTAAACTAAAAAATTCCAGGACTGGCTTTGGAAAAATTAATTTAGGGATTTGTATTAAATATTACACCCTGTATATATATTTTTTAAAATGCAATAAGTGATTTTCAAACTACGTATATAGCCAATGAAAAGCCAATGAAAACGACATATGCGACAATGTTGTCTCACCTTTATTAAATGTTTAGTGAACGATCAAATCTTACCAAAAATAGAACAACCATAATGAAGTATCAAATTATAAGGTATTAATTTAAACAAATGTTATAAATTTCAAACATTTTAATTAAATTGAGTTCCTACAACATAATCTAATACGTAGAAAATTAACATCTTTACTGTCACTTTGTATTATCTCTACGATAGAATCAATTGTTTTTCAATTTTAAATTTTTACTCATAGATCGTATTGGGGCATTATTTTCGATAAATAATAAATTAAGTTGCTTAAAAAGTCAAACCTCTTGTATGTGTTAGTTTTTGTTGATTGTAAATGATTAAAATTTTATGTCAAATAATAATACATTGCATCAACTGTACTAAATAAAAATAAATCTAAAACAGTTTAAAATGAAGGTTGGCGTTGACCGTTTGACGTTCCTTGATATCTTATACCCATTGTCATTATTGTCATTATCAATTGGTATTTATGTGTACAAGAAAACATATTTCTTCTGTTATATCTACGTTAAGTACATTGTGTTAGTTTTGGTAGAGCTTTTGTTACTTTCGTTCAAAATGACACATCAGTTTTTGACCACAGAATATGCAGACATAATATTTGTTTATGGATTCTGTAATGGGAATGGTAGAGCTGCTAGTAGAGAATATCGCAGGAGATTTCCTAATCATTGAACTCCCAGTCATCTAACATTTGGGTCAGTTTTTAATTATTTGCGAGAAAATGGCACTTTTCCTAGTTGAACAACAAAGCGACATGTAGATGAAGCGCAGGAAGATGACATTATGGACGCCGTTACTGTGAACCCTACAATAAGTACTAGACAAGTAAGTCGAGAACTCAATGTTACTCAATCAAAAGTAAGTAGAGTCTTACAAAAAAATAATCTATACCCATATCACATTCAAATGGTTCAGCGACTACATGCTGGAGATGAGATCGATAGGTTGGAATTTTGTAGATGGATTAACAATAATCGACCAACGCTATACAGGACACTATTTACAGATGAAGCCCAATTTACCAGAGACGGGGTAAATAATTTACGAAATTCACATATGTGGGTAGAACAAAATCCCCATGCTCTTCGAGAACGTCGTTCTCAGTTAAGGTTTTCGGTTAACATGTGGATTGGTGTCATAAATAACCAATTAGTAGGTCCTCACTTTTTTGATGTTCCTTTAACAGGGCAGGTCTATTTGAACTTTCTACAAAATATTTTGCCGAATTTGCTTGCCAACGCAAACGTTGCTATCCGAGGGATGTATTTTCAGCATGATGGGGCACCCGCACACTTTTTACTGGCAGTGAGACAACATCTCAATAATGTTTATGGCAACAGGTGGATAGGACGTGCAGGTTCTATTTCGTGGCCTTCAATATCCCCTGATTTCAATCCCGTTGATTACCATATTTGGGGAAGATTGAAGCAAGATACTGTTTTTTGTTGTGCAGTGACTCAGTTTATCATTTTAATTAAAATGTTTGAAATTTATAACATTTATTTAAATTAATTACTTTATAATTTGATACTTCATTATGGTTGTTCTATTTTTGGTAAGATTTGATCGTTCACTAAAAATTTAATAAAAGTGCGACAACATTGTCGCATATGTCGTTTTCATTTGCTATTTATGTAGTTTGAAAATGACTTATTGCATTTAAAAAAATATATATACAGGGTGTAATGTTTAATACGAATCCCTAAATTAATTTTTCCAAAGCCGGTCCTGGAATTTTTTAGTTTAGCTAATACCAGTCGAATGCTTGATAGTAGTGTACTGTATCATGTAAAAATTCAAAAAATCAAATAAGCCGTATAAACACTACAGTAAAATGAAATAAATGGTCAATTACACAAATCACCCTGTTAATTAATAAAGAAGAGGAGTTGACATTTTTTAGTGGCCACATGATATGCTCCATGAGGGACTCTACATATGGTAGAAGTATGTAAAGTTCCTCATGACTCACCCTGTATAGAATCAAAATCAAACCAAAAAGATTCTATTTGACAATAATATTTAATCTTATTGATACATATATTGTCCACTCCTGGTTCCTGTATCGAAGACACTGCAAACAAAACCAATGCGTTACTGAAAGCTGGAAAGTCCGACACGAGAAAACGAGGACGTCCTTCTCAAGAGAATAAACCAAATAAGAGATAAGTAATGCATCTTGCACCAGTGCAAGATGTTCGATTTGATGGCGTAGGACACTGGCCACTACATGCTCAAAATCGCACAAGGTGCAAATTATGTATAAAGTCTTAATCTAGAATAAAATATTTTGAGTACAATGTTTTTAATGTTTTAACAATAATAAAAATTGTTTTTATGGTTTCCATGTACAAAATTAACTGGTTAGTAGTATAAGTACAATAAAAAACGTATTTCCTATTGTAGTCAATTTTTTGCCAGACCACTATATCAAGTGTTATAAATGGATAATTTAGGTATGGGTTCATAACATGGGTTCAAATGGGATTAATTTGTTTTGAGTTTGAAGACTCTAGCATGAAAATTTTTACAAAAGTTATCAACAATTATTTTTTCTTGTATCGTATCCTATAACATACATTTTTTTCAACAAAATTTATTAACAAAAAACTGGGCGGGAAAGGGTTAAATGTTATATGACAATATAATTTCTTTAATTAAAACATTTTAATTTTAAGAACGGCATACGATCTAGAAATCAAAACGAAAATTGTTGTAATTATAACTATTCATCTAACAATCTTACCTATTTTCAATTTCCAAAGCTGTTGTGGATAAATCAGAAATCTTGAAATAAATAGTGCGAAGAAGACTATGAAGTTTCGTTTCCATGTCAAAATATTCGTAATAATATTTAAAATAGTCGTAGGCTTCCCAACCTTTCGCAATAAGGAATTTAACGGATGGTATTTCAGCTATTTGTTGTAGCTCTTCAAAGATTTCATTTATAACATCCATCGTTTCTTTACCAAATGGAATTACTGTTAAGTATTTCTCCTTCAAGAAATTCCAACCTACTTGTGCATATTTATATAAACTGGCAAATGTGTTGGGACCAGTTATATCTTTATAAAACTTATCTATATCTTGAGAGAACTTGGTGAATCGTAGGAAATATGGAGATTCTATGATTTCATTTTTTCTCATATATAAGAAATCTGTAATAAAAATACGATTAAAAATATTTTATATTAATAAAAAAATGTCAAATCTAGTACAAAAGAATTTTTGTTTAAAAGATACTATTTTCTTTCTTTTAATTTCATAATTATCTATATTATAATCATAGAGCCCACTTTGTTAATATTGTTACGAACACGCATTCAGCATGTCCCCGTATAGCGGCTGCATCTCGACTCGATGTTTCCAGAAACATCAGTCACGTACGCCTAGAGGTGGGAAATTTCTAGAAAATAGTAACTTTGGTATATATATATATATATATATATATATATATATATATATATATATATATATATATATATATATATATATATATATGTAATGATCTTAGGAGTTAGTTTAGTTGATAAGAGAATACCGAACTGTAAAGTTATAAATAAATATATTTATATAAATTCGAACCGCTCGTTTTATTTAATCTCGCTACAGTTGGTGTCCGGTGTGAGATTTGAAAATAGTCAACAGTGACTTTTGAAAAAAAAAACTTTTGAACTTTTAAAAAGTATTGTTCGTCGGGAACATCCGCGTAGTTCGGTAGTGATCGTTGTACGAAAGAACATTTAAAAAGTACGTGTCAGACCAAAGATGCTGCTAGTACAACTTTCAGTAAAACAGTTGCGTGAGCAACTAGAAGAACGCGATGAAGATTGCAGCGGGTCCAAGATAATCCTCCAAAAACGACTAAAGAATGTTCTTAATAAGAATGGAGATGACCCAGAGACATTCCAGTTTCAAATAGCAGAAGAAAGAGTTTTAACAAAAATGAATGAGAAATTTGAAAACGTGTCGTAAACGATTATTGAAGAAACTTCTAAAAAAATTGAAGAATCTTCTAGAAAAAATGATAATAAATTAGAGAATGTTTCCAAAAGATTTGATGAAACATTCGAAAATGTATCTAGAAGATTCGATGAAACTTCTCAAATTATTAAAGAAACAGCTAGACAAAACGACGAAAAATTTAAAAATATGTCTAGAAGATTCGACGAAGTATGTATTCAGAATAGTGAGAAGTTTGAAGAAGTCTCTAAAACATTTGATAAAGTAGAAAAGAAAATCAAACAGTTAGAGACCATGATAACTAACACGAAAGTGCTACCACCAATTAATACGGTAGCTTTAGATCCGGTAGTGAAAGAAGAATCACCTAGAGACGAAATGACACATCATATGAGATTCAAATAGCCACCATTTGATGGAAAGTCCTCTTGGTCCATATACCTTAAACAACTTGAAGCTATTGCGACAGCCAATCATTGGACAGAACAAGAAAAGGCTGTTTCCTTGACTGCTGCTTTACGAGGTGATGCTGCAGATATCCTAAGATCGATTCCTAAGGGTCAAGAAAAATGTTACCAGACCTTGTTCACTCGACTAGACAAACGTTACGGAGATGCGCATCTACAACAGCTACAAGACGCTCAAGCAGATGATCCATGTATAAAAAGAGTATTTGATTGGATGCGTCGAAGTGAAAGGCCTTCTTGGCAAGACATTAGTGCATGTAGTCCTGAAGTCAAGTATTACTGAAGCCAATGGAATTGCCTAGTGCTAAAAGATGATCTTCTTTATAGAACCTTTGAGAACGATGATGGTACAGAAACTAAGCTTCAGTTGATTGTACCTAAAAGTAAAGTGTCAGAAGTATTACGTCAGTTGCATGACGGTGCATCAGGTGGACACTTTGGCATTACGAAGACTCTGCAAAAGGTTCTAGGACGGTTCTATTGGGTGAACTGTAAAGATGATGTAAGAAGATGGTGCCGGAGATGTGAACTGTGTGCAACCAGTAATGGTTCAGTTGGTAAAAAGGGGGCACCCATGAAACAGTACAATGTTGGTAGTCCTATGGAAAGAGTAGCAATCGACATTGCAGGTCCACTTCCAGAGACAAATGATGGAAATAAATATATCCCGGTAGCCATGGATTATTTTACGAAATGGACTGAGGCCTATGCGCTACTAAATCAAGAAGCTGTTACCGTTGCAGAGGTACTGGTTAAAGAATTCTTTAGCCGATTTGGTGTTCCCTTGAAGATCCACTCCGACCAAGGGCGAAACTTCGAGTCAAACCTTTTCCGAAACGTTTGTAAATTGATTGGTGTCAATAAGACCAGAACGACACCTCTGCATCCTCAATCAGACGGAATGGTCGAGAGGATGAACCCAACGATGGGTAAACACCTGTCCAAAGTTGTATTAAAACATCAAAGAGATTGGGACCAGCACATTCATTTATTCCTAATGGCCTACCGCTCGGCTGTAAATAAAACTACAGGCCAGACTCCAACCTGCCTGATGTTAGGTCGTGAAGTTCGTTTGCCCTGCGACCTAGAGTTTGGCTGCAGACCTTCTGAAGAACATGTTGCAAGCGAAGATTATGTCGACCGCCTAAAGTTAAGAATGAACAACATTCATGAACTTGCCCGACAATACATCCAGTTAGCCAGTGACAGAATGAAAGATCAATATGATTCTCGATGTAAGAATGAAAGCTATGAAGTAGGTGATCTTGTTTGGCTTTATAATCCACAACGTCGTCTTGGCTTGTCTCCTAAACTGCAAAGACAATGGGAGGGTCCGTATGAAATTAAAAAGAGAATAAATGACGTAATATACCGAATTAAGAAGTTGCCGAAAGGTAAACCTAAATTAGTTCACATAAATCGTCTTGCACCTTATGCTGGCTCAAATGAAACCGAAGAAGTCCGAACCCTTCAAAATAAGATCAAAGATGATCGGTGACCAAGCTTTAAGGAGTTTATGTCAAATTACGCAGAGAGAAAGAGTGCTAGATTTGGCGTGACGACAGAAGTTCAGCAGGATCTTTTTAGTGTTCCGCATAACGTCTCTCTAGCCCACTGTGTTGCCCAACATCTTGAGATGACTAAAGGAATCTCATCTGTATTTTATAAGAAGTTCGGTCGTTTGGACGAGTTAAAAAACCAGCAGCCCAAAGTTGGAAGAGTCTTGAGATTAGAAGATGGTTCTCGATCTTTGCTGTATATGGTGACCAGGAAGTCGTATACAGACAGGGCAACCTACGAGGATATATGGTGTGCTCTAACTAATTTGAAGAAAATCGTCTGCAATTACGACATTAAGAATTTGGCCTTACCCAAGATAGGCCATGCACTAGATAATCTGGATTAGAAGATTGTCAGAAGAATGCTAGAAGTGATCTTCCGAGAAACCGGTGTAAGAATTACCGTGTGTTGCACTAATCCAAAGAGATTGTGTCCTTCAAAGACAGTAGACTGTTATTTCTTTCTGAGGGGTTCATGCAGAGCTGGAGAGTCCTGTAGATTCCGCCATCCTGGGCCTACATATAGAGTTTGGTATATATATGTAACGATCTTAGGAGTTAGTTTAGTTGATAAGAGAATACCGAACTGTAAAGTTATAAATAAATATATTTATATAAATTTGAACCCCTCGTTTTATTTAATCTCGCTACAATATAATAATGGACGAAATAATACAAGCAGTACATAAAGGTCATGGCTACAGAACGGGAAACAAAAAAATCCAAATATTATGTTATGCAAACGACGCCGCATGAATTGCAGAGACAGAAGGCGAGCTCCAAAGATTAACACACATCTTCAATAGAACAGGGAAAAAATACAATGTATTAATATCAGCAGAAAAAACCAAATGTATGACAACATCTAAATATCCACTTCGATGTATAATCGAAATTGACGAGCAAATAATAAAGCAGGAATCAAGGTTTAGATATCTGGGAATAGATATAACTAGTTACGGAGATATTGAAGAAGTACGACAATAGCACAATATAAGTCAATAAGTGAACGATGAAGTATTGGCAGACCAATAAAAAGATGTTGCGACAATTTAAACAATTTAGGAGGCTAATATTGAAGGGAAACAGTCTTTAAAGCCTAAATACAAGAAGTCTAAAAAGAAGGAGATAATCGTTTCTAGCATTATAATTTTGATTGTTTTCTATCTCTCTAGCCTTCATTATATTGTAAATTTCTTTCATTCGTCGCTTTTCTAATGCCATCTTCCCATGTTTTTCTCGGGCGTCCTCTTTTCTGTTGTGCATTGCTTTTCCTTTTATCATTCCCTTTGGTCGCCCGTTTTTATTTATACGGTATACATGATCGGACCAACTTAAACTCTTGATTTTATTTGGATTAGTTCTTGCAGTGCCATTAACCATTCTTTCACTGAATAGAATGGATCCTAAATTTTATTTCTTATTTGTTTTTTTTCTTTATACCTTGGCAAATTCGTTTCCTAAATGTCGGTTTTATTAGAGGCGTGTTTAGTAATTGAAATTTCAAAGTATGTGTACAAGTAAACATTCTTAATTTCACAATAATCTAACACTAGTTTATTTCTATATGCTTCTCCAACAACCATACGTTCGGTTTTTTTATTACTCTTCAAAGGCCAAGCATTTTCATCCAATTTTCTGACCATATACCTTATATCAGCAAATATAAACTGGTCATTTGCAAAATGCAACGTGAAAAGATTTTTATCCTCTATACATGTTGATGTTATATTCATGTTTTCCATCGTCGTAATGTTTTTTTCACGGAAGCCGTCTGTTATAAACCAATCTTAATGTAGTCAGTAGGCTTATTGTATATTTTTCATTTCTTCATGATATCCATTTCAGGATTCTGGAACATCTATGTATGCTTTTCCAGTTTTTTGAGCTATGTTGCTTTCGAATGCCGACTTTTTTCCGGAGGCTTACAATACTTTTGGCACTCCCATAACCTGCCCTGGACCTACTCATGTTCTTCTGGCAAGCTCTTTCAATGCGTATATTACCCTGTGATCTATAACCCATACCAGTGTAACATTGTTATCTTGTGCCATTTTGTCGAGTTTCTCTCGTCATTCTCACACTAGCATAGAGCCCTTTAGTTCATCTTAGGGCTTCTAAGCATCCCAATGGCTGCTTGGCTATGTGTAAATAATATATTGATTCGTTCTATTTCTTAAGAGCTCGTGTTAATTTCTCTTGCATACTACAAGATTGCAAAAATCTTTTAGCCTCCATGCTTTCGGTATTTATCCCAGTACTAAGCTAGCCTGACAGATCATTTCATTTCTGTAGAATAATTGGATATATCCCGTTCGTACCCGGTGATCTGTATGGCTCAAATGAGTGTATGCCCCATTAAATTTTGTTCTGGTTCAGCACTTCTTATACCATACGCCAATTTTATCCTAGAACCATAAATCATGGTATAAAGTCAAGTTTCCTGCCATATTTCTAGTGATATCAGTTTTATTTTGGACTCAGAAAACTGAAACCTACAAAGGTATTTGAGCGTTTCTTCTCTATTCTAAGTATATACGCCTGATACCATTTGCAGGTTTAATATACCTCCAACTAGGATAAAATACTTTTATGAGGGTCTTTTGAGAGAACTTTATTCAACCTTAACATTTCGAGAGCCTGTTTTATGTCTTCGCAATGCCTTCTCCATCATTTTGTTATTGGTACTTTCAGTTCCTTATTATATTCGGTCAGAGCTTTTGAACGCTGACATGACAATCTCTGGCAATCTCTTGACGGCCATGTCTAGGTCCAATGTATGCCTTTAACCCTGCCTAAATAATATTACAGGTTATAATAATCATCGTAATGTTGAATTAATATAGTTCTATATAAGGTCCTTGCCTCAGTCCATTACTAGTTTTTTTATGAAAGAATAAAACCAGTAAAACTAACACCAGAGGTAAAGCATCTATGAAATAGAAAAAATCTAAAAAGAGATGTAGTCATTGTAGCGTTTTATATGCAATATGGTTTCTGTTTAAATTTTAACTTAAATTTTAAATTTAAACTGTTTGTTTGAGACAAAAATAAACGTTTGATTTGTTTCTCTGACCCATTTTGTGTTTTAATTTAGAAAAGTCTCCTTATCCTTGTATGTATTTTTGATTGTAGGGAAGAAGATTTTTTTTTCTCTCAGCAGGAAGTTTTCTTCAAGGCGGCGTCCAAATATAAATAGGTAGAGGTAAATTTGTCTGCCATATCTTGTTCGTTTTTGACCCAGGAGATTTATGTAAGTATCCCTTTGTTTTCATTTAGTAGAAACCCAAATCCGACCCAAATTTATTTCAACTTATCCACAATCCAGCTCTCCAACAACCCTCTGAGTGCCGTACGCACTAGTTCCGATTATTTTGTTTGCCCAATCTTCTCCCCCATGTTCTTACCCTGAGGTATGCAAAATAGTTCATTACATCATAATAAAGAAATAGATTTGTTAAAGGACCATCGGAATTTTAACATTTGGCATGGCATGTAGCTTTTGGCATTTAAAAACCCATTTTCAATAAGATAGGTCGGTTTTTTGAGTGAAAAAACTTTGATCTTGATGATTTATACTTACAAAATATAAATCGGGATTGGAATATTATCGATATTATAAATAAATTTTATTATATATAATCCTTATTTTAATTTTATTTTAAATATTGTGTAGCTGTAAAATGTAATAACTTACCTAAAAATTCCCTTCCTGTATTCCAAGCGATAGATTCTAGGTAATGAATGAATTTTAAAAACGTTGGTTCTATACTAGCTAATGTTTTATGCCAATATTCCACAACAAGAGTGTACATTTGGGACCACAAATTCTCCATGTATTGTATTATTGTAACATGAAGATTCTTTATAAAAGTATCGTATTTCTCAACTAATTTGTCTAGACCTATAGTAATGCTTTCAATGGGATCTCCATTAAGTAGTCCATGAATAAAATCGGTTACGTTTTTATAATAAGTTTTAATCTGAAACAATATTTAGTGGATGTATTATTGAAATATAGTTTAAAAATGATTAAAAGCAGAATAGTTTTGGCTAATTTTTCATTATTTAAAATCATTAAAATAAGAAATAAAAAAAAATAAAAGAAGATAACAAGGAATGCCCATTTCCCATAGCTTTTACAATCCAACAATTAATATTCAATCCACAAGGAAACTAAATTCTTGTAGCTGGCTGTATACTATGTATCACAAAAATTGTATTTAAAAATTTCTTTATAAAAGGTGTATTATTAAAAACCTACCGGGCTACACCACAAAACGTTTTCGGAATTAATATTCCATCATTAACCCTTTCAATGCGGAAAGCGCACCGGTGCGCTTTGTTCATTTTTAATAAAATGCGAACGGCGCACCGGCGCGCTCTCGAAACACATACTTTTATATGCTTATTTAAAAACGTCGCAGTTATCAGAAGTATTTTAAATATGTTTCGCACTTACATAAATATATGTAATGCTGATATGTGAAATCCGTTTTTCGGGGTTTCACATAGGTAGTTAGTAATGGATTTTCTAATATAACCTGTTTATTTATCGTTTAAACGTTAGTCAGTGAGTGACTTATTTGTTCTATTTTTACAATAATGGCAGAATTATGTGAAGCTGGTCCCTCAGGGATAAAAAAACGTAAAATTATTCAAGTTAGAAATCCAAAAAAAGTAACGGAGGAGGAACTGATGCAATTTTTATATAATTCAGACACTGAAAGCGATTATGAATTGGACGATTGTAAATAAATAAATTTCTAAAATTTGTGATTTTGACAAAACTTATTTTTTAAGCTTTTGATGAAGATTATTCGGAGAGGGAATCATCGGAAAGTGAAACTGAAGACAATGTGAAAGAGGAATTAGCAAATACTTTGGAAAATAACATTGAGAATAATACTTTTGACGAAAATACTGAATTACGTCCCAGGATCAATCAGGATACATGGACAGAAACTAGTGAAGGTATGACTCAAATTCCTTTTAACAAAGTAAATCAATTACTAGTAGATTCTCCTGGCCAAGAACCTTACGAGTGGTTTAGGTTATTAGTGGACGATTCACTGTTAAATATGATAGTATTGCAGACTAATAATTATGCCCTAGAAGTACTCTCTGTTAGTAGTGGACAACGTTCAAGAATTTCTGCGTGGAAACCGCTAACTGTATCGGAATTACTTATTTTTATAGCATTAACTCTACACACGGGAACCATCAAATTGCCTCGTATAAACGACTACTGGAAAAAGCATAGGCTATTTTCAAATTGTTTTCCTAGGTATATGAGTAGAGACCGATATTTTTTAATAATGAGGTGTTAACATTTTTGTGAAAATGTACCAGCTACTGAGCTACCTCCTGCAGATCGTCTGTATAAAGTACGACCTTTGATGAACCATTTTAATATGAAAATGCAGACATTTTATTATCCTGGGAAGCATTTGTCTTTGGACGAGTCAATGGTACTTTGGAAAGGCAAACTTGCTTTTAGACAATATCTTCCAAAAAAAAGCATAGATATGGTGTAAAACTCTATATGTTAACGGAGACAGATGGAACTGTGTTGGATTTTACTATATATGCTGGTGCAAACGATACTCTAAGTGGTAAAAATCATACAGAAAAAGTTGTGCTGTTCTTGATGAGGAACTTTTTGAATAGTGGTCATTCCCTATACATGGATAATTATTATAATAGTGTTACCCTAGCCAAAGAGTTGTTAAATCGAAATACCTTCTGTACAGGAACCATTCGTAAGGATAGGATCGGTAATCCATCTGAAGTCACAAAAGCAAACTTAAAAAAAGGAGAATCCAAAGGTATGTACTGCAAAAAAGTTTTAGTAGGTAAATGGAAAGATAAAAGGGATGTGGTGTATATTTCAACCGAATACGAGAATATAATGAAAACTACAACAAATAGAAGGGGAAATGAAGTAGAAAAACCTTTGCCTGTACTTATGTATAACAGACATATGGGAGGAATAGATCACAGAGATCAGATGTGTGCTTATTATCCAATGCTACGTAAAACTTTAAGATGGTATAAGAAAATTGGCATTCACATGTTTCAATTATATTTGCAAAACTCTCATAGCCTTTTCAATAAGTACTCTGGTAAAAAATTATCTCTGTATCAGTTTCGTCTAGAAATTTTAGAAAAACTGTTACCAGATGAGCCGCAACAAATAAAGGTACATCAAAACTTAGAACATTTACCTACAAAAATGACAGTTCGAAATGATAAGAACAGAATTCTGAGAAAAAAATGTCGGATGTGTGCTAAAAATAATATACGAAAAGATACTCCATATCACTGCACAACATGTCCAGAACAGCCCGGTCTCTGCATAGGAAGTTGCTTCCAGAAATATCACGATAACTAATAAGTTTTTTTAATTCACGCTATTATATATGTTTTTGCCAAAGGATGTTGCTAATTTGAAATAATATTGTTATTTTTTTTTGTAAAATTTGTATTTGTTTACTTAAAACTTTTGTCAATTCTGTTGTAACACTTTTCGCTGTTATGTTTCTAGTTTGTAGGTTATGAAATAAAAATTAATTTTTCTGCATTTTTATTTTTTTGATCACGGCGCACCGGTGCGCTTTACGCATTTTATTAAATTTTCTTTAAAGAAATGCGGCGGACGCACCGGTGCGCTTTACAAAAAATTACCTTAAAATCAGTTGAACTATCTTCCTATAAGACGTTACAACTCAGTAAACTAAAACTTTTAAAATTTACTTTAAAAAAAATATTGCCGCACAGGGCAACATCCTACTATGATACTCCGCATTGAAAGGGTTAAAGATATCTGGATGTACATGTTTTAAGCCACTAAATACATGGGTAAATGTTTAAGGTACAACAGGAATAGATAACATGGCAACGTAAGACTCCACTGGGGGGTTGCTAGTCCTGAGACGAAGTGTCTACTAGGACTTTTTGATATCAATCTTTTATAAAGGTATCAAACCCTAGTTTCACATCTACGTCGTAACTTCTAGGCAATACGTATAGTACAAGGGATGTGTTTCATATAGATAACGAAAGAGGTTGCAAGGTCAGTCTCATGTACCTTAAAAATGAAACAAATCGGCGTAGGGAATAAAACTACAAAAAATTACGATCCTCCTGGTTGTATTTTGCGGTTAGGACTAACAACCCCATCATTTAAAAATCTATTTTTATGAGTATATAAAGAAGAGAAACCGGACTACGTAATCTACTAAATGAATTAGATGGATATAATAGCTTTGCAAGAAATTAGATGAATCGGGGATGGCAGTATAGAAAAAATTAAGCCACACAATGTTCTACAACTCTAATGCTAAAAACCGAAGCCTAATGGCTTCCGAATAAATAAATAAAAAATCAAACAGATTATAATAAAATATTTCATGCGATTAAGCCCAAAATGGGTATCCTGAGACAAAAAGGATTTTTTTAAATAATAGCCTATTAAATGTGCATGCCTCTAGAAAGAAATAAAAACCATGTCAGTGAACAGTTTCATGAAGAAGAAGAAACATGATACCACACATGTCCAAAGAATAATAATTTATGGTGCATGATTATATTTATGAAAATTATTTATAGTTGCCTCAATGCAAAAATCAGAAAAGAGCAACAATTCCTATCAAACAGAGTCCTCATAAAATAAGCAGTAATTATAAAATTATAGGAATAAACTTAGCAATTTCTCCAAATATGGTCACCTTCAGCAAATCCATCAAGCGAAAAAAAATCAATGAGGAAACATGGAAAGTTATCTTCGGATGAAGCTACAGTCAACATTGTTTTGAAGGTCTTTCATTGTGGAATTTTAATATTTTTTAACATTTAATTGGGAATTATCCACAAATTTAGTTTAAAACACGTTTATTTTGATGTTTTCATTTTCACTTCGGAAATCGTTCCCAAAAGTTAAGAACGATTTTCGAAGTGATCAATGAAACGTAAAATAAACGTATTTTAAACTGAAATTTGAATTGTTTTCGAATAAAAATAGTAAACAACATAGTAAAATAATAGATCACGCTATTTTTTAACAAACGCAGCAGTCAATTGACTAATGCAAATTTTAACCAATACCAACTATCCAGTATAAAGTAAAATTAGAGCCGGAATTTCAAATATTAAAAACTAAAAAAGATAAACAGCAAAATTGTGAAATATAAATAAAATTTAATAATTAAACTTGAAAGTAGGCAAAACACGAGGACATAAACAAATAATCGGAAACGTTGGGGAAATAAAAAAATAGGTAAACGCAACAGCATGACAATGGATCATGGACGTATAAATAAAGAAGGACCGGGCTATTTACATCTTTACGTACTTAATTTGACGTTGTCATATATGTATTTTTTTTTCCAAGTCAATCTTCGAAATAATTTTTGATGTTTACGTCTCTCTATGCCCCCAAGGGGGGCATAGAGAGATGTCAAGGGGGGCGGAAGACGTTTGCGATTTTAGAAAGAAAAAAAAATCAAACAACATTTACAAATAATATTACAATGTAATGTTTAATTTACACGGATAAAATTAATGAAATTAAATATGTCAATAACCGTTTCAAAACCCGACACCAACGTCGTCAATCGCACCAACGTCGCATGAAATCCGCACGCAACCCCTCCGCACCGATTCCGCATAACGTTCATTAGGAATTAGGATTAGATCATAGGTAGATAGAAAATAGTTTTGAGTACCTACCGGACGTGCATGAGCATCTGTGACATTCATTCACACAAATTTACGAAAAATTTGACGTTTCGGTATCAATTTGTTGCTGAGAAATTAGTTTGAGTGTGTATAATTATTTTAAAAACTACAGTTGTCATTTTTATTTAATTTACTAAATTATTGATTGAGCTAAGATGCGTTCGTAGATCGATCATTGGATCTTTTTTAACACATTACAATCAAACCTACGTGGCGAATTAATTTTGAAACGTTAAATACATTACGTAATTAAGATAAATGGGCATTTATAAATAGTAATTACATGTAGGTATTTTGCTTGTTTATTTATTACTGTTTTATTGTTATAGGTTGCAAAATGGCAGCGAAAAAAAGAAAGTTTTCCGAAGATTATATTAAGTTTGGATTTACCTTCATAGAAAAAGACGAGTTACAGTTACCTCAGTGTGTGATATGTATGAAAGTTTTAAGTAATGATAGCATGAGGCCCAATCGCCTTGAAAGACATTTGAAGGTACAACATCCTACTCTGGTTTTGAAGACGCAAGAGTTTTTTTCTTCTAAAGCAGAATCACTCAAGCGGATGAGATTGGATAAATCGGGAAGTTATCACAAAGGTGTATCGCAGCATCTCAAAGCTTCATTTGAAATAGCTTTTATGATAGCAAAGCAAAAGAAACCTCATACTATTGGTGAAGAATTAATAAAACCGTGTGTCCTAAAAGCCACGCAGATAATTTTAGGAGAAGATGCAGAGCAAAAAATGAAATCTATTTCTCTTTCGGATAATACAGTCAAGCGTAGAATCGATGACATTGCAGCAGACATAAAGTCACAAATAATCAACAAAGTAAAATTATCGCCATTTTTTGCAATTAGTTGCGATGAATCCACCGACATCGTTAATTGTGCACAGTTAATAGTGTATGTTCGTTACATCGGCGGAGATATCATTGAAGAAGAGATTTTGTACTCCCAATCTTTGACAGCAGGTACTACTTCTGAGAATATATTTAATTCAATATCAAATTTTGTTGAAAAACATGACTTGGATTGGAATAAACTCATTGGACTTTGCACAGATGGCGCACCTGCAATGATAGGTGTACGATCGGGCTTAGCTAAAAAGTTCAAAGAAAAAAATCCCGCAATGGTTAGTACACATTGTGTTATTCATCGGCAAGCTTTGGCTTCCAAAACATTACCACAGAAATTACGCCAGACTTTGGACTCGGCTATAAGGATTGTAAACTACATTAAGAGCAGCGCTTTGAACAGTCGTTTATTTACTTTACTTTGCGAGGATCTCGATTCTGATCACAAAGTTCTTCTGTTCCATACAGAAGTACGCTGGCTATCCAAAGGCAACATGTTGGCTCGCCTTTATGAATTGAAAGAAGAAGTAATTCTTTTTCTCGAGTTCAAAGAAAAACACGATTTCTTCACAATGTTCAAAGATGACACATTTCAATGGAGGTTGGCTTATTTGGCTGACATATTGGATGCCTTGAATGAACTAAACTTAAAACTTCAGGGCAGTAACGGCACTATAATAAACAATTATGATTATATTCAGGGGTTCATATCAAAGCTTCAACTTTGGAATCAAAAAATCTCTTCTGAAAATGTTATGTCTTTTTCTCGGCTGTTCGAAGCAATTAAAAATAATATACTTGACGCAAATTTGAAAGCTGACATAAAAACTCATTTGCAAGCGCTGAAAGACGAATTTCGCCGATACTATCGAGACATCAATTCAGAGTCACCAATATGGCGTATGACAAGAAATCCATTTGTTGTTGATGTGTTTCAATTACCAGAAGAAATTCAGGAAGAATTTCTAGATATGATGGCTGACTCGTCCATGAAAGATGACTTCCATCTCTTGACATTGGAGAAATTTTGGATTAAAAGATTGCCTGTTAATTCGAAGGTTGCCTCTCTTGCTTTACGAATACTAGTTCCTTTTTCTTCAACTTACTTATGTGAGACAGGCTTTTCTGCTCTAGTTTTAATTAAAACTAAACAGCGAAATCGTCTTGATGTCGATAGCGACCTGATGATAGCTCTGGCAAAAACAGATCCTAGAATCAACCAAATAGTACAGAATATGCAATCTCAAGTGTCTCATTAATATTTACTTTGTTAAATTTAATTTTTTTGATAAAAAACATGTACTAGTTTAATTAAACTTTTAAAATTTGTTTATTAGAATTAAAATAAAATTTTAAGTATATAATGTGCGTTTTTTGTTGTATTTATTAAAAAAGTAAAGGGGGGGCATGAAAATTTAATTTATAGTCCGGGGAGCCCCAACAAAGAAAAGGTTGGGAAACCCTGATCTAGTCAGTATAAACTATTTTTAGATATACTCATTACGCAACCAAGGAATTAAAAGAAAAACAATAATTTTTTAATTTAATAAAAGAAAATATATTGTGATAATCTTAACTTTATGTAAAACTTGACATCATTGGTAATATTAGCCAATCGTAGCGATGTGACGAAAAGGAACATGGCATTGTACTGTTTACCTTTGAGTTGATAATTTCCTTATTTGTGACATTTTAGTGAATTTGTTAATATATTTTAAATTTGAATTGAAGAATAGTTAATAGTTAAGTGTCCTAATGATGCTTAACTGTGTTGTATGCAGGAAAACTGCATATTTAATTTACATACAGAACTGTCATTTCATTCTTAAGTATTTGGAATTACGTCCATGGGCGTAGTACAGGGATGTGATAGTACTCTACTATACTATATTCTTGACATGAATTGAAATTTAATTTTGTGAAATAAAGTAAATTTTGTAGTATTATAAATACATTTATTTATTTTTTCTAATCTACACTATCATTGCTAAAAATATATTCATTTCAATGAAATATCATATGCAGATTCCCAGTAAAGAATCAACAGCTGCTGGATATGTGGTTGTCTATGTTCAGCTTAAATAAAGAACAAGTAACCAAAACTGCTATGGTCTGCTCAAAACACTTTAGAAAGCATGATCTAATTATACAACCAAGTGGACGGGTTAATTTGAGGAAAGGAACTGTTCCAATAAATATTTATCATAAATCACCTGAACTAAGGTAACTATAACGAATTTCTATGTAATTTACCATACAGAGTATAATAAATATAATATAAAACATAAATAAGTGAGTCAGCATTTTCACAATCTGATTCTTCTTCTAACAAAGCTATTAACTCTTCAGTAGTTAGTGCCATCTTTATTTCATATTTCAAATATTTACTGAAATAAACAGATGCACTACTATATAAACGCACTCACATGATAATAGTTTAGCTTACTTCATTTTAATTTATATGATAAATAAACACAAGGAAACTTTCAAATTAAGTTAAAAAAATATAAATAATGTTTACAGCACACAGCAATTCTATAAAGAGAGAACGATGTTTAATGACGAGATCTATGTTTTTGTTAATATTATTTCAGAATGTTATTTCAAATTGTTTTTAGTTTAATGAAAAAATAAGTATTTTCCAAAGTTTTCTGTTTTTGAAGTTCTGTATTAGGTACTCTCTAATAAAAATAAAATTTTACTTTATTTTGTTAGACAACTATAAATTACCTTATTTATTATTATTATATAATTATTAAAAGACACATGATAATTTAGTAATTATATCGGTCTTAGATTTAATTTTTACGTAATTACTTATGTGTTTAAATAAATAATTAAAATTTTTTTTGGTACTCCTCTGCAAAATTGAGAAGTGAAATATGATTTGGGTGAAAAGTTATCGTTAATTGCTTCGTTAAGTGCGATGTTGTCAAGTAATTACCTTTAATTAAAAACTGTTTTAGTATAGCTGGAAATACAAGTGATTTCGGTACGCTCAGATCTATTCTGCGATATTCTGATCATGGAATGGGTACTCTAATTAGTTAATATGTTTTAATAATAAGCAAAATACTCTTTTAAATTTAATGTTACTTTTCTATTATCATTAAGATACGTTGTAGAATATTGTTGTGTTCTAATATTCGTCGATTTGCTTTGCTAACTGGTATCGGTAAAACTAATGACTTATTTTTCATACTTACTTTCTCATAGACCCAAATAATGCTCTTTTTAATTTTATGTCCAGAGTCCCCCATTACCGTCCAAATTTCTTGAACAATTTTTGGCAACGACTGCAATTTAGATTTAATGGCTAAGTCGTCAAAAACTGTGATGACAACACCGATAAGGTTTTTGACATAAAAGTCGTTAGCATAGTATGAATTATTTAGAAAAGCTTTGAGTTCTTCAATATCATCTTCTATGATAGATAAGTTGCGTAGATCTCTATGAAAATCTTGCATGAATGGTTTAGAGTCGGTCCAGATACCAATAATAGCGTCGATAGTTTCAGCTTTAACGTACTGTTTGGTATTATTAATTGATTCGAGTGTATCCTGGTAAAATCGTCTTAGGCTTCCTCTTATTCCACTCTGAAATAAAAAAAGACAAATTAACCCTTAAAAAGCCATTATACAAAGATACAATAGTATATAAAATTTACATTGGAAAATATGTGCGGCTAAGCGCATACAGGGCAATGCGTACTTGAAGATACATTCACTCTTTACGAATAAAAGCAGGTAGCGCGAGAGAAACCAGTTTGTATTCAAGTAAAATCGAGTCAGTGTCGTTAGTGAAATGGCGGAAGCACAATCTATTGATGAAGTAAGTAAAAAAATAATCATATTTTTGTTTTTACTATAAATTTGTGTTTTGTTATTTCAACTTATGTTAGTACATAGTAATGCGAATATAAATAATTTATTTTAAAGCGATAATTTTATTTTCAAATGGTAAAATATCACCATACAATTGAACTATCAATATACATACAAAAATAATTTTTTGTATGTATATTGATAGTTCAATTTTCTTTTTACATATTTTCAAATTTTATTTTGTTCAACCATATGATATTTAAAAAGTGTACCTTGGTGAATCAAATTATGATAAGATGTGTTGGAATGCGGATAAATAGTTTTTTATATACTCTAAACTATAGATGTGTGTTTGGAAAAGTGTCAAGTAATTTAAATATTTTATTTTTATTGTTGCGAATATGACCTTGTTTAGTTTTAAATTTTATCATGTTTCAACATGTTTTTGGGAAACATATATCAACCCAAAACATGTTGAATTTCAAACAAGTGAATTCTCAGAACTTGACAATAATTAATCAGCCAATTTGAGTTCGAGAATTTAAAAATAAACCAAAGCCATATTGCAATTAGGTAATATATTATGATTAAATAAAATTTAAAACTAAACAACCTGATGATTGTGCTAGTCGGGGTTTGACACCGGCACAACTACTACAATTTTCCCTCTGGTGGCGGGGTCCTGATTTTCTTTCAAAGTCAAGCGAGTGATGGACCTCTCAGGTTAATTTTCACACCTCCCATCCCACGGAAATGTTAGAAGAAAAATTGCCCACTGTATTATCATTGATACCGGTCATTTCGGATAATATCATCTCTACTTTACTTTCAAAATTTTCGTCCCTGATAAAAATTCAGAAAGTCATGGTTTACGTCTTAAAATTCGTGGCTAAACTTCAAAGAAAAAAACAATGCTGCCTCTTCAGATTCCCTGAACAGTCATTTAGAGATGGAATCTGCGTTACGATACATTGTTAAGCATGTACAAGCTGACGTTTTTTCGGATATTTTTCTCAAAATTCAACAAAATTCGCTGTTACCCAAACCTTTTCGTAAACTCGCACCCTTTATTGATGAATATGGTCTTTTGAGAGTAGGAGGTCGATTACAAAAGTCTAAGTTGTCTTTTGATGTAAAACATCCATTGCTATTACCGAAAACTCATCGTTTGACCGATTTAATCATCGAGTGGACTCATCAAACTCATCTGCACCCTGGTTTAAAGGCTATGCATTATTTATTACTTCAGCGCTTTTGGATTCTGTCTCCGAAAAGTGCCATTCATCGCTGTTTGTCGAAGTGCATTCGTTGTTTTAGATGCCGACCTAAATCTTACAACCCCTTTATGGCAAACTTGCCAACTGTCCGAGTTACTCCGTTACGTGCTTTCCTGTCTGTTTGTGTGGATTTTGCAGGACCATTCTCGTTATTAATGTCCAAACATAGAGGTGCAAAAACATACAAAGGATATGTTTGTGTATTCGTGTGTACGAGTACAAAGGCCATTCATCTGGAAGTAACTTCAAATCTTAGTTCTGAGTCCTTTTTGGCTGCCTTTCGTAGATTTGTATCTCGACGCGGTAAGTGCCTAACTATTAGGAGTGATCAAGGTACCAATTTTAAGGGAGCCAGCAACGAAATCATAAAACTAGCTCGATCTGCTGCTGAGACTCTTTCTATTACCTGGGATTTTAATCCGCCCGGTGCCCCTCATTTTAATGGGTTAGCCGAGGCTGGCGTCAAATCATTCAAGAACCATATGTATCGTGTTTTGGGTACACAAATTTTGACTTATGAGGAGTTCTATACTCTTATGACTCAAATCGAGGCAGTTCTTAATTCTCGTCCTTTGTGTGCAGCAAGCTCTGACCCTAATGACTTGCAGGCACTGACTCCTGGTCATTTTTTGATTTTTGAACCCTTAGTGGATTCAATTCCCGATCCAGATCTAAGCGCTTTAAAGATTAACCGTCTGAATCGTTGGCAGTTAATTCAAAGGATAAAGGGGGATTTTTGGAAAAGATGGTCTAAAGAGTATATTCATTCTCTTCAAGAGCGATCTAAATGGCATAGTCCAACCCCATCTCTCGTTAAAGGTTCGCTAGTCCTCATAAAAAATGAACAACAGCCTCCTCTTCGCTGGCAGTTGGCCAGAATCATTGAGTTGCATTATGGCACCGACGGTATTGCACGGGTTGTTACTCTGAGGACAGCTTCAGATGGCATCCTACAACGTCCGGTGGTCAAGATCTGTCCACTACCTATTTGTTAACAACTATATCTTTCTTCATTTCTATTATTATTATAATTTAGTGTTCATTTTTATTCTTATTATTATAGTTGTTTCTTAAAAAACATTCGTTTTGGGGCGGAGAATGTTTGGAAAAGTGTCAAGTAATTTAAATATTTTATTTTTATTGTTGCGAATATGACCTTGTTCAGTTTTAAATTTTATTTAATCATAATATATTACCTAATTGCAATATGGCTTTGGTTTATTTTTAAATTCTCGATTTTAAATTGGCTGATTAATTATTGTCAAGTTCTGAGAATTCACTTGTCTGAAATTCAACAATGTGAATAAATTATTGTTTTTTGTATAATTTCCAGGTACCAACTACTTCTTTTTACGGTTCACGTAAGAAGGTTATTGCAGTACTTTCTCCTGATGATCCATATATATCTGATATAGGAGAGTCATCAGACTAAGAAGAGATTTATGGTGATAATGCTGATGATTTTGATCCAGACTATGAAGATCCTTCCTCTAAATCAAATATGCTTTTAGTTGCTTCGTTCAGTGACACAGAATCAATAGACGACAAACGCTACCTTCACGATCCAAAATTGCAAAAAAGAGATGTGAACAGTACAAGTGGGAGCAAACTGATTTTCAACACATTAAATTTCCAACAGAACCATCTTTCTATGCAGCCGATGACGAGTATACACCTCTAACATATTTTCAGCGATTTTTTGATGACGACGTGTTTGCCTATATATCAAATGAAACTAATGTATACTCCACATTATCAACGGGGGTATCTATCAACACGATTCCATTGAAACTAAAAGCTTTTGTGGGCATGGAGATGCTAATGGGTGTGATACAAGTGCTTGCTTTGAAAGATTATTGGAGTCTTGAAACTCGACATGAAACAATCCCTGAAGTAATGCTAGAGAAGAGACTCAAAAAGCTTAAACGATTCATACATTTTCAAGATAATAACTTGGATGCAAACGGCGACAGATTGTTCAAAATTCGTCCCATGCTAGAAAAAGTACGTCAAAAATTTTGTCTTTGAAACAAGAGACACTATTTTTTCTTGATGAAATGATGATAGCGTATAAGAAAAGTAAAGCAGGTAACTTACGTCAATATATACCCACAAGCCTAAAAAAATGGGGACTGAAAATGTTTGTTTGCGCATGAGTGTCAGGTATTGTTTACGACTTTTTAGTGTACCCAGGTTCGAGCACTTACAACAATATAACATTTTCAAGTTATGTATTTAAGTAGTTATATATTTATGTAGAACAATTGCAAATCCGAACGAATCTGTGGTTTATTTTGACTACTATTTCTGCTCTTTGGAACCCATAGAATACCTAAAGAGAGAGAAACAGTTGTCGAGTCTTGGCACTATTCGCAGTAACCGACTACAAAATAGTACGCTTGAAACAGACACAGCGCTCCTCAACAATTGCAGAGGAAGTTTCGATTACAAAGTTGACAACACAAACGGTATAGAGTAGTCAAGTGGGCCGATACTAAATGTGTCACTTTAGCTAGCTCATACATTTCCCACAGCCCCGTAATTCAAGTGAAACGATATACTAAGGAACAAAAACAAAAAGTTGATGTGCAGTGTCCTCAAGTAGTGAAGCAATATAATAAACATATGGGTGGTGTTGATCTATCTGATATGCTGATATCACTATACAAAACATCATTCAAATCAAGAAGGTGGTATTTTTGCATATTCAGACAAGTCATAGATATAGCAGTGAACAATGCTTGGTTGTTATATCGTCGAGATATAAAAGCATTGGGAAAAAGATATGAAGAACTAAAAAAATTTGCGTCAATATTGGAAGATCCCTTATTCTTTTAAAAAATATCAGAAAATCTCGGTGTTTCACGTGCAGAGCAACAACCAAAAAAAAATTAAATATCCAGTAGCTCCTCGCCCAACAGATGAAGTTCGATTTGACAACATAGGTCACTTGAATAATAAACAATTAAATCGGTAATTACATCAAATTCTTGTCCGATTTTAAAGCGACGTTGCCAAACTAAATTTCTAAGTAAAGAATAAAATCAATAACAGTATCAAATTGAAACTGTAGCCATCCTGTTCTTTGAACCGTTGAGGTTGAAACAAGTGCTTGGCACCGAAAATGGACAGATACTTGGAAAAGAAAACATATCTGGACAGCGAACGAACAACGAATGATGGCACAAAAAGGAGGACAAGAGATGAGGGTTCAGATAACCAAGAAGAAAGGTAAACGAAAAGTCGAAAACTTTTCAAGACTCCACCCAAAACAACAGATAACCATGATGAGACAAAACTAGATAAATTAATAGACATGATGGACAATCTGGCAAGTGACATTAAAGAAATAAAGAGAGCCCAAAACAGAAGTAATGAAGCAATAGAAGGACTTATTGATGATAACCAAAAAATAAAGACCTAGAGAAAGAAAATATGGAAATAAAAAAGGATTTAAATGAAGTCAAAGAAACTATTGAATTCATGGAAAAACAAAGAAGAAAAACAATGTGGTCATGAGTGGACTAGCAATCGAAACAAACGATTAAAGCGTCTTAAAAGAGGGAATGAGCAACTTCATTACCTAAATACAATTTAAAGAGAGATGTTAAAATTAAAAATGCACATAAACTGGGAGAAAAAACCTGTCTGATTGAATTGAAGCAGAACATGAAAAAAGGTAAAGGTTATGAAAAATAAATCTAAACTAACACATGTTGAAGAAGGAAAAGTATACATCAATGATGATACTACGAATAAAGAGAGAGAAATTCAGAAAACAATTAGAAAACTTGCGCAAGAAGAAAAGGAGAGAGGAAAGGATGTAAGACTTGGTGGAAATAAAATATGGATCAACAAGGTCGGCTGGAAATGGGACAACAAAGAGAACAAACTAGTCAAAATGGGGATAAAAAAAACTAGTAAAAAATGTGCCGGAAATACTATGACAAACCAGGCAATGCCAACGGACATGAGTAGTTATAGAATAGGTAGTAAAGACAAAGATAGATCCATAAATAATGACCAAGGACGTGAGCAACGAGAGACAAGAAAGGGTAAACCTATAAAAATGCAGTCAGCAACGAGCGAGAATATAAACAGTAACTATGTAAAACCCACATTAAACAAGACAGTGCTTAATGACACGGCCCACAATAACGGAGCAGTGCTAAAGCCCAAAGAATGGACATTAGCAACATGGAATGTCAGAGGTCTCAACGGCAAAGAAGTCGAATTTGCTGAAGAATTTGAGAAAAATCAAATAGATTTACTGGGTATAACAAACATCAAAAAGAAGAGAAAAAAGACACAGTTTTTAGAAAATGAATACTTCCTCATCACCAGTGTAGTGTCACTTGGCGAAAGGGCAAGATACACAGTAACCTAATAAAGAATATTCAAGATTGGGAATGCATTTCAGAAAGAATTCTGAAGGTAAGACTGGTAACTGCGGAACACACACTAATCAATATCATCGGTATGTATGGAATAAATGATGACGAAAGAGTAGCTAGCAAAGACCTATTCTGGGATAAAGCGTCAGAAATAATAGACAGTTTAGAAGGCAATACGGAGAAGAAATAAAAAATGACAATGGGACACGTATTATTAATATATGCAGAGAAAATAATTTAATAATAATGAACATATTTTTAAACACAAAGATGTACATAAATATACAAGAGAAGTCAAAAGTAGAGGCGAAAGATCCATCATAGACTATGTGTTAGTAGATAAATCCTCGAGGCAATGCATTAAAGATGTAAGAGTAAAACAAGGAGCTGAAATATATAGTGACCATTATCTAGTTGTAGCCAGGACCAGCTTGGGAGTGCTACAAGAATCAATAACGAAAGAGACCAAGAAAACAAGTAAAGCTCATGATACACCCACTATAGAAGTAATCAGGTCACATAATCTAGCGGACAAGGAGACAGCAAACAAGTTTGAAAAATTGGCAAATACTGAAAGAAGCACTCCTAAACGGTGGTAAACAAGCATGCGGAATAACAAGAAAAAACAGAAGCAAAAAGTGTACAAACTGGTGGAACAATGAAATAAAAGCAGAAGTGAAGTCCAAGAAGATAGCTTGAAAAAATTATTTAAGCAACGGAATTGCAGACAACTGCAAAGAATCAAAGTCAAAGATATGGTACTACCAACAAAATGGAAGAGTTGGGAAGAATTCGAAAAAAAGGTGGAAGAGAAGAAGACTACCACTCTCACCAAAAGTTATTCTTTAAAACCCTGAAGAATTTAAGAACCGGAAAGGCTCCACAAACACCAAAGAAAATAAGGGACAAAGAAGGACACTTACTGTATGACAATGACTACATCCTAGATAGATGGAAGCAATATTTCGAGGATCTGAAATTGAAGAGGCCCAACTAAGATGATACGGACACATGGTTGGAATGAATTAAGAAAGACCAGTAAAAAAAGGATAAGAAACCACAAGACAAACCAAGAGACCAAAGGGCAGGCCAATGAAGACATGGGATAATAATGTAACCTCAATCCTAGAGACATGAGGAACCAGCAAAGAACAAACAAGAAACCAAGCAAAGTATAAGAAAAATAGATCATGCAATTAATAATAATCATACATTTAATTTTAATTAAACTAATATATTAAGACGTGACAACCAATTAAATAAAAGAGAATTTTTAGAAATGGTATGCATAAATAAATATCAATTCGTTAATAAAAAAACTGATATTAACAAACTAAGCAATATCTATAATTACATTCTATCTTACGAAAATCAATACTTTAATTTTCTAATACATATATGATTTTCTGACTATAAATACTATATTTTCAAAAATTTAAATATTCATATTTGGCGCCACTTTTTACTTAAGCATAATAACAATCTAGAGCTAGTTATCAATAACAAAAACAGACACGAGTGTCTTTCTGACATAAATCAAACATCATTATAATAATCAATGTCATAATATATTCAAAATTAAAATATTGTACTTACATAAAAATATAATTTAGATAACTTAAGAATGTTTTGTGAATTTAATAATTTAATGGTTTAACCTCATGTTGTAAGTTTTTATATTAGTTTTATACAATGTTTTTTAATTCTAATTTCATTGTATTTACCATAACATATTTTAGCATATCCTGATGAAGCAAATAAATTTTGCGAAAGCTTGATTTAAGAACAAAGAGTTTAACTTATCCTGCCCTACTTAAATGACTGCATCCTCAAAATAAAACTTTATTTTACATAACGTGTCAGTCAATAATACCTAACTACTTTATATGTATATATATATATATATATACATATATTAATATATATATATAATATATATATATATATATATATATATATATATATATATTAATATATATATATATATATATATAATATATATATATATATATATATATATATATATATATATATATATATATATATATATATATGCACACTGTACTTTCGTACATCATAGTGTAAGAAATTATTGCACGAAGAAGTCTCCATATACGGATGTGCATTTTTTGGCACGTTACGTCGTAATCTATTTTCTTACGCAGTTGGCTAAATTTTCTTTAGATACTGTATTTTTATTTTTATTTGTCCACAGTATCTTTTCACAAAGGTACTGACCACCATCAAATCTCGAAAGTTAAAGTTCTTCGGACATATTATGCGAAATGAATTCAGATATTCTCTCCTTTAAGCCATCCTGCAAGGAAAATTTTTGGAAAACGAGGTCCAGGAAGAAAAAGAACAGCTTGGTTAAAGAACATCAGAATCTGGTTCAATACAACATCTGTGCAGCCTTTCCGCGCTGCTGCAGATAAGATAAATATTGCCATGATGATCGCCAACATTCTTAACGGATAGGCACATCAAGAAGAAAAAGAATCTTTCCACAACGACTAAGATATTGTTATGATATATGGTATTCTTATATCCGAGTCTTTAGTTTACTCCAAGTTTTGATTAGAGGTAGGTTGACATATTCCATTACTCCGCTCAGAATGTCAACCCTCTGGATATAAGGTTTGGACCACTTTAAGAAGTAATCCATTTAGAATTTTGTAATATTTTCAGCTAGTATGAGGTGATATTATCTATATAAAGAGGTAACGTAATATGCTGAGCTATTGATCTTTATATCATTAGGTGAAAATTTTTAAATTTTCATGGCAGAGTTTGTTTGTACTTCGCGAGCTTTTCCGTGATTTTAGTAGTTCTGATAGACCAAAGTAGCATTTGTTAACAAAGAGAATTTGTCCCTTTATTTTAAATTTTATATCATTTTTATATCGACAAAAGAGCCAAGATATACAAATTCTTAAACAACTTTAATATGTAGTATTTTTAAATTCCTTGGTATATATTCAAATCCCCTCGTATATGTTAAAACACCAAAATATTATTTCGATCCTTTTTGCGTCGCTGGGTTGATAATAGATACATTTTAAAGTTTGTTTATATATCACAGACACATATTCTTTGGTATTTGCTTTGATCGTTTTCCGTTGCGTTTTAAATAAACATCCATTTAGATCGCTGAGAAAGTATTGTTTCTAAAATAAGACGTCGAAATGAAGACGATTCCAAAGCTCTTTAGTGTTTGAGTTGATATGAAGCCGTGTGACTACGATATTATCTGAACCAAGAGGTACAAGAACCAACGAATATTGACTGACACTAACAGCTCGGAGAGAACATTTCATGGCTAGATAGATACTATCATTGAAATAAGGAAAAGACAGGGTGTTTTATAGCTATTTTAGATGATGTCGAACTGATACAGCGTTCCGCTGGTCCATTGACGGTTAAGAGCAAATAAAAGCCCCAAGTGGGCTTGAAATTGCTTTTCACTCGGTGGACAAAATGCGGTAACACTTTGTTGCAGGAAACCTTACGGAAATAGTAACCGTCCTTAAGGATCGCAAATATTGTTTCTCGAAAGGTGGCGATATGGAGTTAAGGGCCGTCTAAGAGTCAACACTCTGCCGACGTTACTGTACCTCTCGAGGAGTGTGAACGTGGTCACAGGGCAAGGTATGAAGTGCCGGCATCTCGGTGGGAGTTAAGGAATACACTGTGCTCAACATACTAAACATATATATTCATGTAAGACAAATTAATGTAAGAAATACCTCGAACTGTTAAAGTATTCTGGTTGCCAGTGTCCCATTGTCTACCACAGGGGCCCCGGTAAACTTCTAGCTAAGCAGAATCCTAGATCACACAAACTCCACGAACATGAGGCTGGAATCGAGAAACTTACGATCCTCCTCCAAAACGGCGGTCATAGACCATTCATAAACACCAAATACCTCGGAGAATGCTACGGCCGTACGACAATATTGCTAAAGTTATATTATTACTATGGTCATAAATTTTTGTTGTAGTAAAAAATGCAACTACTGCAATATATTGGTCTTACGTCAAAACTTACCGTTACATCGGAGATAAGCTCAGGTCTCCATTTCAAACTTGACGTTATCAGTCTAGAATGATTAAGACGTAGGTAATACGCTACATCAGAAATTCTCCTATCGTCATAGTCGCGCCAAACATCAAAAAGTGCACTTCTGGCGTCTGGAATCACCCCATAACTGTGCAGACTCTGGGTTCCATCTAAAATTAATATAGAGAACTACATAAATAAAATTTTAGAAATTACTGCTCTTTAAATGATTGTCTAACATTTATTTGAGACTGTATAAATTTAGAAAAACTTAACAAAGCAAAAAACACTGTAATTTGGAAATATGTAAAATATTTAAATATTAACAATTATTTTTATATATTTATTAAATAAAGAAGGTAGCCATGATACCATCATGGTATTACAACAACTAATAAAAGAAATATAGACACAAAAGTCCCTCTCCGATGATTGGAATATTAGAATACTTTGCTCCACACACCAAAAAGGAGGTATATTTGAGTGCTTTAACCACAAAAGAATTACGCTTATAAATGCAGCGTATAGAATATTTTCCACAGTATTATATTACCATATGCAGAACGGATAGTAGGAAAATACCAGGCAAGTTTGACACTGGCAAATCGACAATTCATCAGATTGCAACGCTGAAATAAATTTTGAAAAAACACTGAAATATGGCATTGATACTCATCACATATTTATAGACTACAAAGCAGCCTACGACTCCGCGGATAGAAAAGAAATGTTCAAAACAATGAAAGAGCTAAGAATGTCAAATCAGTTGGTATATTTAACAATACTAAGTCTTGAAAAAGTTGAATGTGGACTACGAATTGAGAAGGAACTGTCTGAACTTTTTAAAACAAATAAAAGACTGCGCCAAAGAGACCCTCTCTCCTGTATACTGTTCAATCTGGCTCTGGAAAAAGTTACACGTATGTCACACATGTATATTTTAATTGTATTGCACAAATTTGAGTTTTTTTATTTATTCCTTTTACTCCTCTTCTTATTGAACACTATTGAAGATAAAGAAGATATTGTCTCATTCATTCAGTCTCCTTTTGAAAACCTTTTAAAATATTTAAAGAACATTATTTCCAACATAATAATTAAAAATCCACACTATTTTAGAGACGATAATCCTCCGAAATTAAAACTCAAAAATATACATTTATCTCCAAATTATAAATTGGTTTTTCTCAATGTGGTATCTTCATACACTAATATTCCAATAGCTTTAGCGAAAGACATTATTAAAAAAAAGTGAACTGAAATTAAAGCGTTCACAAACATATCTCTAGAAGAATTTCTACTAGCAGTCGAAACAACAGTAAAGTCAACCTATTTCATATACAAAAACAAAATCTTCCAACAAACAGATGGAAGTGCTATGGGCGCTAGCATATCCCGTGCCATCGCTCAATTAGTTTTAGAGCATCTAGAGGAAATTGTTTTAAATAAAATAAATTTTTATATACCTTTTTTTCTATCGCTATATAGAGGACTGCTTGAATGCCGCACCAGATGGTAAAATGGATGTTTTACTAAATAAATTTAATAACTTTCACCAAAAATTAAAATTCATATTAGAAATTGAAAAAAGAAATGGACAAATTAATTTTCTGGACCTGACTTGACATAGAGAAAACAGCAATATAACTACTTCATGGTACATAAAAAAAACCAGACCGTCGAGATATCTGAATTTCAACTCTCATCATCCCTTGTCTCAAAAAAAAATCAGTAGTTATCGGACTCGCCGGGAGAGCTATTAGATTATCCGATCCTATCAATAGACCTCAGGTCATTAAAAAAGCAAAAACAGCACTAACACTTAATTCATACCCAGACCACCTTATCAACAACACTTTTAAATTGTAACTGCATAAATTTTAAAATAATAACAACAACAATGAAACCAACACGGTAAAGAAAAACTATGTATCTCTACCCTATATAAAAGGGTTATCAGAACAAATTGCAAATCTTCTGTCTAAACATAACATTACGGTTGCTCATGAAAGGCACAATCTTTTGAAAAAGAACTTTACGATTAAAAACAAAATCCCCTCTATTAAAAAAATCGCATGTTGTGTATGAAATTCCCTGCTCGAATTGTGATGGAGTATATATTGGACAAACCAGTCAGCTACTTAACTCAAGAATACGTTCCCACAAATATGACGAAAAAAACTTAACCGCCATCACAAAACACGAAAACGAAAAGAAACATAAATTTGATTTTGACAAACCCAATATCGTTGAAAGAGAACATAACAGGAAGAAGAGGGAGTTTTTAGAGTCTATACAAATCAAAAAGAATAACAACGCAATAAATGATAAAAAAGATGTCAAAAATTCAAACAAAATATAATTTAATTTAATTTAAAAACACACAAAAATTTCGGAGAACGACTATGATGTTAATAACTGATTTTTTAAACGATAAACTAACATCAATAAAAAACATTAGATTTAAAATACATTTACGTGTAGTGACTTAGTGGGTCTGTCCTATGCTTTTGATATTATTTTAATTGTGACGTCTATGTCCTACTTGTTCATTTCACTTTTAAACTTCACTTTTAAACCGTATTATGTCTTTGATAAAATGGTTTTTTAGTTAATATTACTTCTTGAAAAAGGCATGGATTTTCTGGTTCAAGAACTAAACTCAAACTATATAATATATATATATATATATATATATATATATATATATATATATATATATATATATATATATTTATATATATATATATATTTATATATATATATATATTATATATATATATATATATATATATATATATATATATATATATATATATGATAAATTATGAAAATCTTATTTTCTTGCTTTTCTTAGTTTAGCCGTAATTAAAATAAAAAGTAAAGTACAACCAGAAAATGTTTGAATTAAAGAGTGACGACATTTATCATAGTTTACCTTCTGACATGTTGAGGTTTAGGTAAAGCAACTTCTTCTTGAAATTAATGTAAAACTCCCCTTTCGTGTCATTAGTATCGTATATGGCTGACATGTTTGCAGTATAAACAGGATATTCTCCATTGTACCTTCCCCAGAAATAGGATTTTCCGCTAGCAATGTTATCTCTCTGTAACAAAATAATAAAATGTTTTTCTACTTTTAAACTATATTTTTAATAGAGATGGGACTATGCATTAATAAAGTAACACAAAATATGATGTAAAATATGTAAACATTGTTTATAATAAACAGATAGCAAACAAATTGAAATGAAAATGTACCATTTTTATTCTCATAAGATATGAAGGGCACAGGGGAAGAACTATCATAGTCACAAAAAGTAAATTTTTCAGGAGATCGTTTTAAAGACTTGTGCCGAATGCTTGATGTTTTTTATACCCTTTATTTTTATTTTAAAATTAACTTTATCTTATTAAGATGCTCTAACTTTAATACTAAACTTATATCAGCATCGATTTCTTATTCTACCTCGAGTAAAAAAACTTATCAGTATTTTTTTGTCAGAAGACAAAAAAATGATCATTATTCCCCTGTAACTTGGGATAATTTGAACAAAACAGCTCTTTATTTAACGTAATTTAATTGTACATGAATTATTTTTATAATTTAGATGGATTATATTTTATAAACTTGTTATTATTATTATTTTGTTTACAATAGAAGAAATGAAGTTTATGTTCAAAAAATGTTTTTTTTTATTCGGGGGTGTCTTGTCTTTTTTAATCTGAAAAATAAATCTTGTTTAGTTATCTAATATAAATTCTAAATAATTTTCATGAGACTAATGTCTCTCAAGATATAATATATTACTTCCCATTTAAAGATAATCATCATCGTTGCCCTCTGCACCTTGTTGTTTGTACGGAAGGCTATTGTACAACTCTTGGGCTTCCAGTCTACAGAACTTCTTTAAGGCCTGAAGGTCGCTGTACTTGGAGCTTGGTACAGGTATCGGCTCTGGATATGAAGATTGTAGCTCCGTAGTGGCTTTGGACGAGGGTTTGTTAACACTCCTTATCTGTGTGGAAGTGAACGCTCCATTGTAACTATCCCGGTGTTCAATTGTTCGTGATTTTGTCTGCGAAATCTTCACTTCTCGAATGGGACGTGTTGCAGCACTAATTTTTTTCGTGTACTCAGTTGAGAGAAATTTCCCCATAGCTTGAAGTTTTTTCTTTCAAAGTTCACAACATGAAAAGGCGAAGGCTTGACTCTTTCTGATGCTATAATGTCCCTCCAATCTTCAGGCATTTCGGCTGACGAACGTTTTGGGATCAAACCCATATTCTTATTAGGTTCCATGTACGAGTGGCCTCGTATAGGGAACGTGATTGTCACCTCCTTGAATCTTTTTTTAATGGCAGTCATGTAGTGGAAATATCTGAGTACAGTAAAGTTTTTGTTTTGGCCACTACATGAGTCGCAAAACACTTTTAGCTCCTCAACTGATTCATCTAAGTAGTTTTCAATGTAGTGATTTATCATTGAGACAACATCGTCTGCTCCTTTTTTACCCTCTGTTTGTGTGTATGTGTAAAATACTGATTCAGATGTTGCTAATACGTGGACATTAAATAAATAAAAAGATAATTGGCGTCTGAAGTATACCTCACTTGTTGATATATCTGGAATTTGTAGGTTCCTGCCAAAGTCCATGGCAATAGCTACAGTTTAGCAGTTTTTCTACTAATTCTTTTAGCTTCTCTTTTACGACTATAAAAACTGTCAGCTTTCTTTTTGTGCAAAGTTATCTCAGTACGTAATTTCCTCAGCTTTTGTTCCAATGAAACCTTATTTTCAGCAGATGCGTTTTCTAGCGATTTTTCTAAACTATTTTCTTTTACTTTATACTCATCACATAACGCACACGTGTCGGTGCGTGGGTAGCCAAAGGCAGTGTTAAATTTTGTAACAAACATTTTGCGAAATACTTCGTAAGAGATTTCAAAATGCTTATCGCTATACTTTTTCAAGAATAAAACCATCAGCTTTTTTATATTTAGATGTTCAGGTAGGTACACTCTTTTTGAGTTCTTAAGACTATAGTGCGCTTTTCTACCCTTAAGAGAAGAAAAAATCTATCAAGGCTTTTTTTGTGTCATCTGGTAATTTACGAGGACGGTTGTTATGCATACCTGTACCATCAATAGGAGCTTTACCTGTCTGCACAAGAGCTTTCTTAACTGTTATCAAGCGTCGGTTAGTGACACCAAAAAACGACATAAAAGCTTTAAAGCAAACTTTTATTTCTTGCAGCTTGCCTTCACGTAACACTCTTACCTTATATTCATATGAAAAGTCATGAAGATTAGCATCTTCTTCAGGTTTCCTAAGTCGTCTTCGTTCAATTCCATGCACAGAAATTAGCCCTGCCAAAAATGAGTTTTGTTCATTTCTGTCTTTCAACCCATTAAAAGTTTTGATCAACCGAGAACGCTCTGAATCGTTAACATTTTCAAAACATTTCAGACGTTTGCAATGACAATCACCCCCAACCTCATTAGTACAATTTCTTAATATTTTATCGACATCACGAACTCTACCGGTCACTTTCCTCTTTTTAGAACTGCTAGGTATGCTTAACAAGCCTGAATCACTTTCTTCACTGGAACTCATTGTAAGAAAAGGTAGAACTAAGGTAACTATAACTACTACGCAGTATCACTTTAGAATACTTGTTTAGATAAACAAAACACGAGAACAAACAATGTGAGATGCACTCTCGACAACGCAAACAAAGCGACTGACTCAACCAAATAAGCGCGTGGACTGTTCGGACTCGGACCTGATCGTTTTTACGTTGGAACTGTGGACTATGATCATTCTTCCCCTGCATATCGTTTTTGTATTCGGTTCTACAGCGGACTATATCTGATTTTCACGTGTAATGTCAGCACGAGGTTAATATTTTCGCATACTGCCATCATAACGGCATGGATTTTGGATTTTTTATTTTTTGTGACTATGATCGTTCTTCCCCTGTACCCTTCATATTTGTTCCCATACAGAAAGGCTTAAACCTACAAATCGCAAAATCTGCCATAAAAAGTAATAATGACAACGAAACAAACAAAAAATATAGTAAAAAAAATATATTCTTGAAAAATAAATAATTTTTTTTAGTTTATTGTGTCGCAACTACAAAGTTATTGACACTGGGTTAATTTTAATGCTAAACATTTTACATTCCATTAGCCATAATTTAAAATAAATAGAATATCTAAAAGACAAAGTAATAAAACAGAATACACTAAATGTTGTAATACAAGTTTGTTTCTCGAAGGAAATCTAGTACATTCTAAACAAGTTCTATTTGGCCGAGGATAACATTTGTAAGACCATGTATAGAGCATTTTTTGTTCTTGCTTGTATTTGACACACTGTGTATAAATATGTTCAACAGTTAATAATTCACTACACTTCTCACAAACAGGTAATTTCTACGAATTCATCAGTTGCCTATGTGTCAGCCGTGTGTGACCAATTCTTAGCCTGTGAATGATTAAGTTGTCTCTTGTACTTAAGTTAGGTAGCTGAAAGGTTTCGTTGTTAGGTTGTATTTTGTGTAATTTAGTGCTGGTTTTGCCAGCACTTTTTAATTTGGGACCTCAAAAGAAGTCTGATGTTAGTTGAATAGATTTAATGTCTGATTAGGTTGTAATTGCTTCTTTTGCAGCAGTATTAGCAGTCTCATTACCTGAAATTCCAACGTGTGAAGGAATCCAGATTAATATTATGTTTGTTCCAGAAGAAGTGAGACAGTTTTTTGCTTCATATATGGCATGAACTAATGGATGTTCGGAATAAATATTTTTAATAGGGTCAATGGAGGACATTGAATCTGTACATATTGTAGTGTTCTTGGCTTTAGATTGGTTACATAAGCATTTTAATTCTTGTAGAATTTCATAAAGCTGTTCTGTACGAATAGAGGTAAATTGTGGATGGCAGAATTTCTAAATGATACTATTTAAAGTTGTTACAGAATATTTAACACCTGTCTCAGTTTTAGATGCATCTGTGTTAAGAATCTGGTCATATAAGTTTTTGTTGACCAGCTCTAAGAAAGATTGCCTCATAATTTAGCTGTTGGTTATATTTTTGTAATAATTATTAAGCGAAAGGTTAATTTTTGGTATGTTAATAACCCACGGAGGAATTGATGCCAATATGAGTATCTGTTATTGAAAATCAAAAGGTCGTGAAAGAGGAAGTAAAATTTCAGGTAATATCTGGTATTTATTATAGGGCTCACAATTATAGGGTTTGTATATTAGCTTATATATAGGAATGTTTTTAGAAGAAGGTGTTCCCGACGAAGCGAAAGGGGAAGTACATCTGTTTCACAGCGAAGACTTTCGGTGGGACTGGACCTGAAATCTCCGAGAAATATTCGTAATGCAGTATTCTGAATAATATTAAAAGTCCTTAAATAAGTCTTTGATGAGAGTCCAGAGCTAATGAGAGATCTGTTTACCTTAATTAGGATATTTTCATCAGCTCCCTAGTGATGGTTTGCTAAAGATTTTAATAGATTTAATCTAGCTAAGCAACGTGTCTACCTTTGACGTTTGTAATCTGTGATTTCCATGTTAGTGGACTATTAAAAATTAAACCTAGTATCTTGTGTTCATTAGCTTCTGTGAGCGGAGTACTATTTAATGTCATTTAAGGTAATAATATGCTACGTGTTCCTCGACTGAATTTGAGTACCTTTGATTTTTCAGCAGAGAGCCAAATTTCAGCAATACCAAAGCTTATAGACCAAGAAGTTATTTCAATTAAACAATTTATTGGTAACTCGAACTCGGTTTTAACTGCTTATGTTCTTATTTCCTACGCCAGTGGGTGGTGTTTCGTATTGCAAGTAATTACAAGACTTAGTATGCTCTAAATGGTAGCAATATCGCCATCCTAATTTGTTGAACAAATGTCCGTTTAATTCTACCATTTTTGTTGTAGTCCTTCGAACCGGATTTATTTCTTTGCTTGAATGTAGCATTAGGTACGCATAATACCCATTCGCCGTTGACAGTTTTTTCTTTTTCAATATATTTAATGAAAATAATTTCACATGCTCCTCACCAAAATAACGCTGCCACGCTATGGCAGCTTGCACGGTTGGTTTAAAATATATTACTCGACATTTTATTACTATAAACGAAGAAACAGGCTTAACCAGAGTAAAATCCAGTTCAGCTTCTATATTGGTTAGGCTGAAACCTTTCAATAAAAGTTTTGTATTACATAATGATGACCAATTTTCTCCATTTTTACAAATTCACTGCGTTCACCATTAATAGCTGCAAAATAAATACTAAAGAACGTATCGTCGTAAGACTTGGAAAATAAGCTTTATAGATTGTGAACTTTCTATACTCCAGCAAAGAAATAATGAAATGAGTCATACGCGTGATATCGTAAAATTTAGCTGTCCTTAGAGTTTTACCCAGAAGTGTGTCAGTAGCGGAAAATTTATTTTTGGTTAGTGTATAGCATATTAACAACACATAATTAAAAGCAATATTTGTAGAAACATCTCTTCACTTCATATCTTGTTACTTTTTTGTTTGCATTCCTTTTTGCTTTTGTTTTCTGCGGTGTATTTTCTTTTCTTCCTTGCGTAGTTATTTATATTCCCCCTCTTCTTTTCTAGTTCTGTACCCCTGTTGGATAATTAAATATGCTCTGTTTTTTCTCTCTATTATATATTTTTCCTATTTTTCCTTAAAATTACTTACATAACTGCGTAAATATATGGATGTATGGATGTTTTATTGACTAATGAAAGGTGTTTAATTGCGTTAATCAGTAAAATGTGACCGAAGTTCTAAAACTTGCGGTCTTATCGCTAAAAAGGTACGGCGTAATAACAAGAAGATTACCTTATTTATTTCAGTAGTCTCCTAATCATTTCTCACATACAGTGGGTCAATTTTAAAATCTACAATGGTCTATATCTCACGAACAAAAGCTGATATCAAAAAATTCTTGAAAACGTTTTTGGGATAGTAAGGGGGAACTAAAATGACATGAAAGAGAACTCACCCCTATCAACCCCTTAGATTCCAATAACCACAACCAAAAAAAGCTTAAATTGCAAACCCCTACTTGTGATACAAGTAGAGGTCATGTATCATACAACTATCATTAAAAAGACTATAAAAATGCTATGCAATGGTATAAATAATATTTATATAGGATAAAACAATAATTGTAAAACTTTGGCTTAAATAGAAAATATAATGAGGCTTTAGTTGATTATGTTGATAACTCTGTATAATTATTGTTTAATAATAATACAATGTGCTAATATCAGTCGGCTTACTATGACCTGTGTATTTGTAATGTTATCTCCCAAATTATGATTTTTAATGATAAATGCCCGCCGGAATTTTTTTGTTAAATAAAAACCTAATTTGCCATTTTTGCTACAGCTGTAGTTTAACTACACCTCAAATATTTCATGAAAGGTATCCGGGCATAAATGTAAGTCACGTATACGTCCACGATTTGATTGAAAAGTTTAAAGAAACGGGAGAAGTGCAAAATAAAAAAAGGAATTCCCCAAAATTACTGAACGAAGCATCCCAAATTGATGTCCTTAGAAATTTTGCAATAGAGCCTACTGCATCAACACGTCAAGTACTGCAATGACAGGACTTTCACATGAGTCAGTAATAAGGGTGTTGAAATTACATAAGTTTCACCCGTAAAAAAACACAAATTCTTCAAGACTAATTGAGTTTTGTGAACTCATAACTGAAAGAATTCGCGTTGAATCGAGAATATTAAAAAATATTTGTTTTACTAATGAATGTACTTTTATGCTGAATGGTAATGTAAATAAACAAAACTCTCGGTACTGGAGTGATGTGAACCCGCATTGATTCAGAGAGAGTCACACAGAATATACTGAAAAACTGAATGTTTGGAAAGTAATACGATGCTATAATTGGCCCCTTGTTCATACCAGGCAATTTATGTGGGGAAATTTATCTCGATATGCTGGAAAATACCATCGAACTTTTAATTGTACTTGAATTAAAAAACCAAAGGGACGATCAGGGCAACCTAGTTCTAGACAAAGATTTGCTACACTTCCAACAATATGGAGCACCTCCTTACTATGCAGCTCCAGTTAGGCACTGGTTGGATACCAGACTTATCGCCACCTCACTTTTTTCTATGGGGTTCCCTCAAGTCAGTTGTTTATAAAACTTAACCTGCTTCACTTGGAGAATTGCGAGAAAGAATTACGCAAGCATGTCACGCTATTACTAAAACAACATTTGCTAAAGTTTGTCCAGAATTTTAAAATGGGCTGTATTATTGTTTACAAAAAACGGAACCTACTTTAAACATTTAATTAATTCCACGAGGAAACTAAGTTCCTGTAGCTGGCTGTATACCATATATCACAAAAAAATTTTGTTTAAAATCCTTTATAAAAGGTATATAAAAATGCCTCAAACGGGCTATCACAAACACATTGCAAAACGTTTTCGGATTAAATAATCCATCATCAGTGCAAACGGTTGTACATGCTAGTAGCCACTAAAATATATGGGTAAAAACCCTTTAAATGTTATAAATTTGAAGTTGTTTTACATTATTAGTATTTCTAATTTGTGATGGTTAAGTTACCGTTGGATAGGTAATATGGCGGCGTATGACTCTACATGAGTAAAATGGTCCTGAGACGAAGTGTCTACGAGGACCTGTTGATGATGATGATGAACAGGTCTTCGTAGACACTTCGTCTCAGGACCATTTTACTCATGTAGAGTCATACGCCGCCATGTTACCTATCCAACGGTAACTTAACCATCACAAATTAGAAATACTTATAATGTAAAACAACTTCAAATTTATAACATTTAAAGGGTTTTTACCCATATATTTTGGTGGCTACTAGCATGTACAACCGTTTGCACTGATGATGGATTGTTTAATCCGAAAAAGTTCTGCAATGTGTTTGTGACAGCCCGTTTGAGGCATTTTTATATACCTTTTATAAAGGATTTTAAACAAATTTTTTTAAATTTAATTAATTGACATTTTTAACAAATTTGTAGTTCAACACAAACCTTATTAAATTTTCCATTTATGCCAAAGTTTCACAATTATTGCTTCATCATGTATAATTATTATATTAAATATCATTTCTTATATTCTTTTTCAGGATATATCACAAGTAGGGGTTTGCAATTTAAACCTTTTTGGTTGTAGTGGGTGAGGCCTAGGGGGTTGATGATGGTAAGTTATATTTCATGTCATTTTAATTCTCCCTTACTATCCTACAAAGTAGCGTGTAGCACTCCTCTACGATCCCGGTAGAGGATAGGCTGCTACAGGGATTGGAGTCCCTGTCGTACGCTAGCTGACTGACTTTCTCCTATGTCCAAGCCTTTAGAAGAGGCTAGGTCCCCAACCTATCTTCCTAACCATTTTCTAATCCTTACCACATCCCGATATATCCCGCTACCAACCCGCACTGGCCAACGTGGTAGTGAAATGGCTAATTTTCCCCATAAATAACATGACACAAACTACTCATGAAGATAATAACAAAACGGTTTGTGAACAAACTGGATAGTTACCAACCTTATGAACATGCTGGGTTCCGCTTCAGATACGGAACAAATGATCATCTACAAGTTATAAAAACGCTAGCAGAAAAGTGTACAGAGTATAACAAGCCTATTTTTCTTATATTCGTAGATTATGAAAAGGCGTTCGATACTATACATCATCATAAAATGCTTCGAGCATTAGCTGATTGCCGCATTGACTATCGATATATCGCCTTCATTAAAAGTATTTATGAAACTTGTACAGCTTGTGTCCGCCTTTATGAAGATATCAAGAAGTTTCGAATAGAACGTGAAATTAGACAGGGTGATACTATCTCAGCTAAATTGTTTACAGCTGTTCTTGAGTATATGTTCAACCAAATGAAACGAGAGGATAATATGGAAATTGATATAAATGGGGAAGATCTGAACCACCTCAGATATGCCGATGACATCGTTTTAATGTCTGATAGAGTTGATAAAGCTACAAAAATGCTGCACACGCTCTATAAAGTGCCAAAAATAATTGGTCTTAAAATTAACACCTCAAGGACAAAATTTATAACCAACCTTGTAGTCAGCGGTAAAATTCTGATTGAGAGTCATAGCATCGACCAAGTAATAGCTTACAAATATCTAGGGCATGAGATTCGCTTAGGCCGAGATAATCAGACAACTCAAAACCAAAGAAGGATAGGTCTCACATGGGCTACCTTTGGTAGATTGAATAACATTTTCAAGTCTATTATCCCAGTTATTTAAAAAAAAAAAAAGGTTTTTCACCGGTGCGTTTTACCGATCCTTACATATGGTGCAGAAACACTAACTCTGACAAAAAGAAGAATAGATAAAATAAGAGTTACACAACGTGCTATGGAAAGATAAATATCACGTATTACCATCAGAGATAAAGCACAAAACATAGAAATAAGAAGAAGAACAGGAGTTACAGATGCAGTTGAAAAAATAGCCATGGCTAAATGGGCTTGGGCCGGACATGTTGCCAGATTAACGGATGATAGATGGACCAGTAAGATTCTGGAATGGCGACCAAGGCATATCGAAGCAGAGGACGACCACCGACTAGATGGACGGATGATATCAAGCGCATCACCACAAACTGGATGCAAGAAGCTCAAGATAGAAATAGATGGAAAATTTTACGGGAGGCCTACGTTCAGCAGTGGACAAATATAGGCTAATTGATGATGATGATCCTAGAAACGGTTCCAAGCATTTTTCGATATCAGCTTTTGTTCGTGAGATATAGCCCATGGTAAGTTTTAAACTTGACACATTGTAATACATCTCCCGTTTGTTAGCCTACTACATATTTTTATTTTTTATGTATAATCGTTTTAATAAAACTTTAAAAAATAACGCGGCGACACGTAATGGAAAACTGAAGTAAATCGGTTCATAACAAGATTTTATTATAAAAAAGGACAAATATAAAATAGGAATAAAAATTAAAACTAATTTCCTTACCTTCAATTCAATTTCGTTGTTTTGTAGGTTAATTCTGGCCAGCGTTTCCGATACAGATGAAGGTAAATATGATCGCTGGTAATTCGTTATATGTTCGGTGCCCAAAGCATTGGGATTCCAGTAAAAATCGCCCGTCGAATTTAAATTTAAATTTGTCGCAATGTGTTCGGCCCAAACATTGTACGTGTAGTTATAGGTCACTGAGTTAGAATTATCGTTTACTTTTCCGCATAGAGTCAGCTTTTGATCTGGATTTAATGAATATACCACCAACAATTGGCCATCGATTGAAGAGTTATCGTATCCATACTCGCTAGTCATTGTGATGTCCTGAAAATACAATAAAATGATTTTAAAACTTATTTAGATATTAACTTTTTGTTAAAAGTTCTTTTAACAAAAACGATATACCCAACTCATAGATGATATTGAAAGTAATTATATAAAACATATATGTGAAATATACAGGGCGTTCCCTAATTAATTGGACATTAGCTAATGGGTGATAGCTGACTTAAAAATAAAGCGTTTGAGCTCAAATTGTTTTAGCAAAATTTTGCTAGTTTTCGTTCTACAGGTTGATTCATTCATATTTTTTTATATTATTTTTAGGGATATATTGAAAACTATTCAACCGATTTAAGTGAAATTTGGTATCTTGCTATTATTTAGTATACTTAATATGAAAATGATATTAATTTTACTATTGACACTAGATGGCGCTACCTACTATAATTTTGGTTCATTGATGTGGCCATAATTTTTTTGTCTTGAAAAAAAAACTTAAAATAACATTAAATTCTACACAAAAACGGTATTCAAATCAAAAAAATTCACCATTTTGTAAATTTTATTATTAGTTGTCAAAGTATAGTGTGAGTTATTATTTGTCAAACTGCTATTAAGTTTTTCATAAACGACTTAAGATAAAGGTAAAATTCCACGTTATAGTGAATTTTCTAATGTACAAATGCGCGATATGATCTGTTTGTATGCCCAGGAAAATTTTAGTTTTCGTAAAGCAGCTCAGCGTTATTTTGAACTTTATCTCAATAGAAGGCAACCAAACCATAAAACTATTAGATCATTGATTGACAGATTAACCTTCCGCTACCGGAGGGGGGTACAGATTGTACCTCAAATTCGATTTTTCATGAATAATTTTTAAAAATGTTGGAATTTTATTTAACTGTACTAGTTACTTTTTCTTTGGGGTGTGTAAAATCATATCCAACCATTTGTTTTCAATTTGACATATTTTTACCTATAAAAAGTGCAGCACTGTGCTTGGGGTACAAGTTGTACCCCATCCGTCAACCGCGGTACAATTCATTGCGGTCGACGCCACTGACTAAACCAGACGTTTTGCGCACGGCACCAAACCTGTTGTTTGCAATAACACACAAATCAGTTCTGTGGATGACTTAGTGCTAACATACCGTTTTAGTTTATCCATTCGTGATTACACGATTAACCGATATGTCGAAAAAAATAAAGTTAGACCTTCGGAAATAACAGGATCGTGAAACTACAATGCAGTGGTTAGAGGAAAGTGATGATGATTACCTTTCTGAAAGAGATAGTTTATCGGATGATTCAGAATTAGATGATAATTTAGAAGTAGCGGAATATGAGCCTGAAATTCTGCAGGTAATTTTTATTTTTGTTTTATGTACGATATTTCTATCTTGAGTTTATTATATTTTAGCCATCTGAGAGCGACAGTAATGATTCTGATAAACCAGTTTTGGGGGCAGTAGATTCCACATTTATTTTAAAGAATGGTACAGTTTGGAAAAATCGTCCTTTACGACAAACTAGATGTCGCACAAAAAACTTGCTCGAAAAACCAGGGCTTACAGAAAAATCTAAAAATGTCGCTAAAATTAGTGATTGCTTCAAATTATTTGTAGATGAGAAAATTGTAGAGATCATCGTCAAATGTACAAACCAGAAAGCAGAGAAATACTTTTAGGATTGGAATGGGAAAAATCCTAATAAAACAAGAACCTGGTTGCCCACTGATTCAGTGGAAATTTATACGGTCTTGGGACTCTTGATTACGGCGGATGCGCTAAAAGCCAATAGGGAACCAGTGCACTTTTTGTGGTGTCGAAACCCTTTGTACAGTCGATCTATTTTTCCGGCTGCCATGTCACGCGACCGATTTCTAGATTTAATTTTACTTATGCGATTCGATGATTTGAACACTAGAGAAGAACGTAGAAGTTCTGACAAATTAGCAGCTTTTAGGGAAGTGTTTACAAAGTTTTTAGAACACTGTAAAGAAAGTTTTAAGTGCCACTCTCATCTAACTGTTGATGAACAACTTGTAAGTTTTAGAGGTAAGTGTCCATTTAGAGTCTACATGAAATCAAAACCAGCCAAGTATGGCATCAAAATATGGGCTCTAGTTGATGCAACAATCACCTATGCTGCTAACCTTTAGATTTATACTGGAAAATATGGTAACAAACCAGAAAAAGACCAGGGCAAAAGAGTAGTACTTGATTTGGTCTCATTTCTAAAAACTGGTTATGGCATCACTACTGATAATTTCTTTACCAGTGTTCCCTTGGCAAAACAACTCCTAGATCGACAAATAACATTATGTGGAACACTTCGAAAAAACAAGCAGGATATCCCTCCAGCCCTACTACCCAATATTTCTAGACAAGAAAAGTCCTCAGTTTTTGCCTTCACTGAGGAAATAACACTGGCGTCTTACGTTTCTAAAAAGAATAAGGCAGTAATTTTATTGAGTACAGAACATAACAACGATAAAATTAGCGGAGAAGAGACGGACTATAAGCCAGACATAATCTTGCATTACAATTCTACAAAAGGTGCCGTAGATACTATGGATAAGATGGTAAATGAATATTCTTGTAAAAGAGCCTCTAAGAGATGGCCATTTGTTTTGTTTCAAAATCTTCTAGACATTGCAGGTCTGAATGCATACGTACTGTGGACGACAAAGAATTCCATTCGTGCGTATGAAGCTTCTCACAGATGCAGAGAATTTTTACTAAACCTGGGTCAAGAACTTATAAAGCCCCATGTCGATAGGCGACTACAAAGTCCACAAAAATTCCATAAGCGAATTATAAACGCGATGTACGAATTATGCCCACCGCCACCAAGAGAGAATCGCGAAAACGACGCCACCATCTTGAAATCCTCAGGGCGATGTTTACTTTGTCCACGCAAGAAGGACCGCAAAAGCAGAAAAACGTGCAATTCTTGTAAATTCTTTGTTTGTGCTGAACATCAAACAACCACAACAATTCAAACAATAATATGTACAAAATGTAAAGCTAATCCAAAAATCGTTAATTAATTTTTTCAAGACACCATATTTTTTTATTGTCACTTATATTCAATAAAAAATACTTGCATTTGTTTTAATTATGTTTTAATATTTTAATTATTGCGTTATGTTATTTTTAATATATAAAAATGCATGTGGTACATAATGTACCCCCTCCGACAACTACAAAACAACTTGACCCTTCGGTAGCGAAAGGTTAAGCGAAAAAGGGTCATTTCATCCCAAAAACAGGAATGCTGAAAGACCGAGAGTAATTGATGCGGATATGGAGGATGAAGTTATTGTGCATGTTGCAGAAGATCCATAAACTAGTACAAGACTTGTTTCTGCGGCCACTGATATAAGCAAAACTACGGTGTCAAGAGTAATACGGACAGAAAATCTGTATGTATATGTACCTATCGTTTTACTCCAATACAGAATCTTTTACCACAGGATTTTCCAGCAAGGCTCCGATTTAGACAGTTTATGATCTTGCGGCATTTTGACGATCCAATGTTTTATAATAAAATTTTATTTACCGATGAAGCCACATTTACCACAAGAGGTGTGTTTAACTGGTACACTGGTAACAAGGTGTGTGGCATATTTGGGGATTGTATTGTAGGACCATTCGAAATATCAACTAGGTTTGATAGAGTAACGTATCTAAATTTTTTTAAAACAGCTTTGCAAAAATTATCTACTATTAATACATTTAATATTCACTGGTATTTACGACCTTTTGGATAATGTTTAAATTTACATAAATTTTTGTAAAATTTTTTCATTTTATGCACGCCTCTAAACAATATGTTTATTTCGAAAACGGTGTACTTTTTTTATTTGAAACAGGAATACCTTTTTTGTGTAGAATTAAATGTTATTTCATGTTTTTTTCCTAGAATGTTTATACAGGGCGGACAAAAAATTATGGTCACATTAATGAACCAATGTTATAGTAGGTGGCGCCACCTGCTGTCAATGGTAAAACTAATATCATTTTTATATTAAGTATACTAAATGACGATGACGACCAAGAAGAGATAAAAAAAAAGAAAAAGAGGAAACAGGACAGTTTTGAGATAAATAAAAAACTCAAGCAAGAAAGAAAAGAAAGAAGAAAGAGAAAACGAGAGATACCAAGAGAAGACAGAAGATGAAAGAATACAGAGGAAACTAAAAGAAGTAATGGATATTCTAAATGGAAAAGGACCCATCGAGGGGGAACAAAAAGCCAAAGCAAGCAAACTAATAGGGGAAATTAACACAATTCAGATTAAGACCTGTTAAAAAAAATCGGCAAAAGGGGAGGACGAAGAAACTAAGTGTGAGCAATGTAAAATAAAACTACTGCAAGAACGACAAAGAAAAGAAACAGAAAAAATAATAAGCGCTTTAAAAAAAGGGGGATATATGAATAACTTCAATCAAATACAAAAAAAGAAATGGGAAGAAAAAGTATTTGAAAAGACAAAATGGGAAGAGGTAAGCTTACAGGAGACGATAACTAAAAAAGAATGCCTTATAATAACAAAAAAGGATATAAAAGTTCATGAACTAACAGATGTCTGCGAAGAAGGAAATGTGGAATATATAAAGAACGGGAATGAAAGTTCCATAGTCAGCCAAAGAAGGGAGTGGTACACATATGTGGACAAACAAAAAAAACAAGGTATGTATGAAATGGCCGAGAAGGCCATCAAACGTATAAAGGAAAGGAAAGAGCCACCTGAAACAATAAGGGTGGTTATCAATAATGATATAAACAAAGATGAGGTACGGAAAGCCCTGGAGTTTGTAGGCCGGGCAGAAAACATCGTATGGGAAATCCAAGTAAGAGGTAAAGACATGGTAAAGGCGTAAAGAACGAGCAAGAGGAAGCCCTCCTAATCAAAACAGGTGGCAAATCCTACACGGAAGTATTGAAGGAAATGAACCAAAAAATTAACATCGGAAAGATAGGGGTAAAAGTAGATAGGCTCAAAAAAACAGAAGGAGGGGATATCCTAGTAAAACT